TTGCCCAAGTTTTGGGGTCGATCCGAATTTAAAAGGTGTGAGAAATTGCACAACTCCACTTCAACGGCAGTTCGTTCCTAATTGGAGTGGTTAGTGTATTCCATACTTCGAGCAATTGGATTTCACTCAAAAATCACCAAATGACTCCGCCCACCATATTATCATGTTGCCCAAGTTTTGGGCTCGATCCGGAATCAATAGGTGTAAGAAATTGGACAATTCAAGTTCAAAGGCAGTTCGTTGCAAATTGGAGTGGTTGGGGTGATTCATAGTTCTGGCGAATCGATTTCACTCAAAACACACCAAATGACTCCTTCCACCGTATTATGATGTTGGCCAAGTTTTGGGCTCGATCCGAAGTCAATAGGTGTAAGAAATTGGGCAATTCAAGTTCAATGGCAGTTCGTTCCTAATTGGAGTAGTTAGTGTAATCCATGCTTCTAGCGATTGTATTTCTCTCAAAACTCACCAAATGACTACTCCCACCATATTACGATGTTGCCCAAGTTTTGGGCTCGATCCGAAATCAATACGTGTAAGAAATTAGACAATTCAAGTTCAAAGGCAGTTCGTTCCAAATTGGAGTGGTTGGGGTAATTCCTAGTTCTGGCGATTGGATTTCACTCAAAACACACCAAATGACTCCTCCCACCAAATTACGATGTTGCCCAAGTTTTGGGCTTGACCCGAAATCAATAGGTGTGAGAAAGTGGACAATCCAAGTTCAACGGCAATTCGATCCTAATTGGAGTGGTTAGTGTATTCCATACTTCTAGCGATTGGATTTCACTCAAAACTCATCAAATGACTCCTCCCTCCATATTATGACGTTGACCAAGTTTTGGGCTCGATCCGAAATCAATAGGTGTAAGAAATTGGACAATTCAAGTTCAAAGGCAGTTCGTTCCAAATTGGAGTGGTTGGGGTAATTCATAGTTCTGGCGATTGGATGTCACTCAAAACACAACAAATGACTCCTCCAACCATATGATGATGTTGCCCAAGTGTTGGGATCGATCAGAAATCAGTCGGTGTGAGAAATTGGACAATTCAAAGGCAGTTCGTTCCGAATTGGAGCGGTTGGGGTAATTCATAGTTCTGGCGATTGGATGTCACTCAAAACACAACAAATGACTCCTCCAACCATATGATGATGTTGCCCAAGTGTTGGGATCGATCAGAAATCAGTCGGTGTGAGAAATTGGACAATTCAAGTTCAACGGCAGTTCGTTCCTAATTGGAGTGGTTGGTGTATTCCATACTTCTATCGATTGGATTTCACTCAAAACAAACCAAATGGCTCCTCCCACCGTATTATCATGTTGCTCAAGTTTTGGGCTCGATTCGAAATTAATAGGTGTAAGAAATTGGACAAATCAAGTTCAAAGGCAGTTCGTTCCGAATTGGAGTGGTTGGGGTAATTCATAGTTCTGGCGATTGGATGTCACTCAAAACACAACAAATGACTCTCTCCAACCATATGATGATGTTGCCCAAGTTTTGGGCTCGATACGAAATCAATGGGTGTGAGAAATTGGACAATTCAAGTTCAACGGCAGTTCGTTCCTAATTGGAGTGGTTGGTGTATTCCATACTTCTATCGATTGAATTTCTCTCAAAACTCACCAAATGACTCCTCCAACCATATTATGTTGTTGCCCAAGTTTTGGGCTCGATCCGAAATCAATAGGTGTAAGAAATTGGACAATTCAAGTTC